AAAAAAAAGTCTTATTATGTTTGTAGCTTATGTCCAGCACTTATTTGATAAATACAAAAACCAAAAAAAATGTCTTCATTATTTTTTTAGGTTTGTTTTTTTTTCTTTTTTTTTCTTCTTTGGGAGGGTGGGTGGGGAACTCCGCCTATGCCATTGTAAGATGACACTTATAATCTCATAGCCGGTCTCAAGCCCGGAAAAAGGAGGAGAGGCCACACATGTGCATTTAGATGATAATATATATGTTTTGTTGACTTACCAATCATGGTTGAAATGAAAGAATCATTTAGGAGAAATATTGTTCCGTTGCTTTCAGAAGAAAGAGCTACCTTCCTTTTCTTTAGATAATGAAACAAATATTTGGTGTATCAAAGGTCTGCATGTTCAAGCCAATGAATCTCCATTGAGGCGTTCAATCACTGTGAGTAACGACACTAACTCATTAGATTTCTATTATTCCGGTCATATCGAAGCTATTTATTCATTGGTTTCTCACTAATACATGTATTCTTTTTTCTTCAATCTTCTATATGAAGCACAATTTTGGACTTTACTATGAAGCAGTGCGTCTCCTCTTTGAAGGAATCGTTTACTTGCTTTCCTGCCGGCTGCTTGTGTTATACCTTGTCTTATTGTTCAAGTTCTAACTTGCTTGTGTATATGCAGATTATCAGTTACAGCATATATAGTATATACGTGATCCATACACTGTACTTTTCTAGCTTCTGCTACACAAGGATTCGAAGCGTATCGAAGTTGCGAAGGATAACGAAGATTTGTAGGACCAAAGGATTTGGTTTTTCTTTCTTTCTATCGTAATAAATTCTAAGTTCAAAAATTGTTAGTCCTCCAATATTCCTCAACTTTTCAAGCTGGGTTGTTGAGACAGAGTATAATATATACTACTCTGGGAAACAAGGAGTACTACACAAGGAATTTTGAGTTTGCAACTAAGAATGTTTCTCTTTCTAAAACTAAAGTACTGTAAAACTACACCCTGTAGGTACAAAATACTGTGGTTTTGACATAACAGAGTATTTTGGGGTATTGAGAATACCGTGGACCTTTTTAGCAAGTTTTTATGCTCCTACATATTTTGAAGTGGTTTTCAAACGTACGCATTGCTATCTAGTTTCAGACGTGCCGCATTGCTAGCTAGCCAGATGTTGCAAACTGATGAACAGCCATGCACAGAACACTGGCATGCACAAGCCAAGCTTGCATTTGTCTGACCACTATCTTGACATCAGCAACAAACCAAGCTTACATTTTTCAGAAGTGTCTTTGTTATTTTACAGAGTGGCTTCTGCAAATGCCATACGAAGCATCTATCTGCAGAAAAAGTGGAACCACAATCCTGCAGCAGAAGCAGATTACTCAACATATACAGTTCTTCTTCCCAGCATATACAGGTCTCAAACAGTAATGACTTGTTGATGTACAGAGAGTTTTTTTTATTTCGAAAAGGGGCATTGACCCCGGCCTCTGCATCATCATGATGCACACAACCATTGATGTACAGATAGTAAAACTAGCTTCTTTTTTTCTGCGAGGTGTATAACTAGCTTCTGATCTGCTCAAATATTGACTTGGCTTGCGTCCTCATCGATTTCTGAGCATTTTCGCTCGATTAGCCATGGTTGTCCATGCTTGTACTTAATATACATTGTCGGTCCATGTGAAGTGTACAACTCTAGCTGGTCACAAGTATTTATCCATATATGGATGTTTGTGTTTGCTAAAAAAGACTTCTTGTCTGTTGATTTCTGCAGGTGGCGGTGATGACACTA